TCCCGAGCGTGGGCCACAGAGGCCCACTAGAGTCAGCGTCTGAAGCATTCACAAGTGATGTAAACGTTCAAGTATTAATTATTCTTTTGTTTCTGAGGCCCTGCATGGCGTCCATGGTACACCTGCACACATCTGTACATTAAGCTGATCTTATCATCTGTGGCTGTTGTTATTTCTTCATTATTTATAACTTAATTTCTTTTTAAATATTTATAAGAGCATGGATATGAAATGCAGTGAATAGAGCCGGCATCATGACTGTTGATAATTTATTCTTGAGTATGATTTTTTTACTTGCTGTGTGTAGGTTACCCTTCAAGGAGGAGATCGTTGATGCTGGTAAAGACTTGCTGTGTGTAGGTTACCCTTCAAGGAGGAGATCCTTCATGCTAGTAAAGACTTGCTGTGTGTAGGTTACCCTTCAAGGAGGAGATCGTTGATGCTGGTAAAGACTTGCTGTGTGTAGGTTACCCTTCAAGGAGGAGATCCTTCATGCTAGTAAAGACTTGCTGTGTGTAGGTTACCCTTCAAGGAGGAGATCCTTGATGCTGGTAAAGACTTGGTGTGTGTAGGTTACCCTTCAAGGAGGAGATCCTTGATGCTGGTAAAGACTTGGTGTGTGTAGGTTACCCTTCAAGGAGGAGATCCTTGATGCTGGTAAAGACTTGGTGTGTGTAGGTTACCCTTCAAGGAGGAGATCCTTCATGCTGGTAAAGGACTCATTATTGAAAGAATTGGAGGTATTATTCCTTTCCTTCTATCAAACATTATTACTTTCCACTTCCCAGCTTCTATATGGGTTTAACACTCTTCCATGATTCTAATAAAAATAATATGTATAGTTCACACCAAGTAACTTGAGTTTTGAACTTGATATGATGGACTTGAGGGCTGTTTGAGCATTCATATTTCCCAAATTTTGACAATGTAGAAAAGAATGATTGGATATAATTTAAAACCAAAATATTACTAACATTATTACAGTAGACCATCAATTAACACATGAGCTATTGTAATACCTCTGTTGACACTGAAAAAATGTGGCATACTGTATTTTTGTGATAAGCATGCCATATTTATCATTAAGCACGGAGTAATTGTGTGGAAACAGTGGCTAACAAACAGTCAGTAAGGTAATGGAAGTTTCCAATAATTTCACTGTAACTACTAATTACTGTGCCTTTCACTTTAAGTGTATTTATACAGATGTTGACTTATTTTACTGATGGATAAAGTGTGAAAAGTACACTAATTAACCCGTAAACGGTCCAAACGTATATATACGTTTTTTCAACATTTGAAAGTACGTAAAAAAAGTAGATCTTCTTTTTGTTTTTTTACATTTGAAAATGTGTAAAAAAACTTTGATCTATTTTTTTTTTGTTATATTTTAAAATATGTAAAAAAAACGTAGATCTACTCTTGTAACACTACACATGTGAACGTAGATCTGCTTGGACCGTTTATGGATTAAATAAGAAAGTGAAGGGATGATCTTGTTGAATTGCCATGATAAATGTTTGTGTTTAAAGTTGTAGGACCATGACAGTATACACAATTTATACTGGACATAAAATATTTGTGATCATGGGATTTGGGTCTAGTTAACAGATGTGACTAAATTAGCTACAGTTTTTCCTGCAAACCAGTCAAGTCATGCAGTGTTTTCACATTCTTTACTTTCTCAGTGCTAAAAGGTTAGGATACTGCAGATACTCCAATACTGAAACTATGTATTGTGCCAAAACAAAAGCATTCACATTGCTAAACTCACAAACTAGTATTTAGTCACTTAGCCATAATACCAACTTACCTCATAATTTGTAATACACGTATTTTAAATTTAAGATCTAATCTAAGTCTTCCCGAAATGCCTAGCCATGCTAGGTGTTTTTGTGGTACACTCTGTAATGCCTAGCCATGCTAGGTGTTCTAGTGGTACACTCTGTAATGCCTAGCCATGCTAGGTGTTCTAGTAGTACACTCTGTAATGCCTAGCCATGCTAGGTGTTCTAGTGGTACACTCTGTAATGCCTAGCCATTCTAGGTGTTCTAGTGGTACACTCTGTAATGCCTAGCCATGCTAGGTGTTCTAGTGGTACACTCTGTAATGCCTAGCCATGCTAGGTGTTCTAGTGGTACACTCTGTAATGCCTAGCCATGCTAGGTGTTCTAGTGGTACACTCTGTAATTATTATTTTACTACATATAAACCACACAACAACCAAATTCTGTAAACTCAGCATTGTAATCCTCATAGAGAATAAACTTTGAATTTGAATAATGATTATATAAAAATTGAGAAGGGGGTTTCAAGATTTAGATATCCTTTGCTTCCTTCCATTTGCATAATCATGGCTGTAGAGAAGAAGCTAAATTTAACATAAATACAGTAACTAGTGTTTATACAGTGTGCATCAGTTTGGTTGTTAAATTTTAATGTTTAAGATCCCAGAGGTGGAGATATATTGCAGTTTTTGAACTGTAGTATCAACACACCTCTGGCAAGACTGATGAATTGAATGATGATGAAAGTGTTTCTTCTCTTTTGGGTCTCCCTGCCTTGGTGGGAGACTCAGTTTGTTTAAATAAAAATAATCGGTAATATACTGGCCTCACAGATTTTGTACCTATCCTTAAGAAACTACCTTCATTATTTATATGCCCTTTGCTTCTCTCCATTTGTATATTCAAGGTTAAAAAATGAAAGGAACCTGGATATAATGTACTGTATATACAGTGGTTGCATCTCTTTTTTGACATTGGCCGTCTCCCACTGAGGCAGGGTGACCCGAAAAGAAACATTTTACCATCATTCACTCTATCACTCTCTTGCCAGAGGTCCGCAGATACTAGAGTTCAGATGTTTCTCCAAACAGCAAATATCTCCTGGATATTTAATGTTCTGTTTCCAAAAAGCATGAAGTAGGTTTTTGTCTGTATTGAGAGTAAGTTTGTTGATCGTCATCCAGTTTGATATTTTATGTAACTTGCTGTTTAGTGTTACTAAATATAGCCGGGTTTGGGTGGGAGAAGACGTAAGTGGTGTTATTTGTGAATAGAACTGGTTTAAGGAGTCACGATGCATTTGGGAGGTCATTGATGTAAATAAGAAAGAGTAGAGGACCTAGAACACTTCCCTGTGGCACTCCAAGATCTACAGGCTGAGTATTGGAGGTCACACCATTTGTGTATACATACTGGTGTCTACCACTAAGATAAGATTTTAGGTAATGGAGTGTCCTCTGATCCCATAATGCTCTAGTTTTAGGTGCAAGATATTGTGGTCTACTGTATCAAATGCTTTCCATAGGTCTGTGAAGATTATTATTATTATTATTATAATCAAGGGGGAAGCGCTAAACCCGGAGGATTATACAGCGCCTGGGGGGGGGATGTGGAAGGCATTCAGGCTTAATTCGGGGAACTGGAGCACAGATCCAATTCCCTAAATCAAGAGCCCCTCACCAACATCAAGGAACCTTCCTTGAGGGGAGGTCTGTGAAGAGCCCCAGAGGATATTCATTTTTTCAATTGCTTTATATAGTAATTCGAGCATCTGAATAATTGCATCATTCGTGCTTTTTTTTTTCGGCCTAAACTCAAACTGGCAGGGGTTCAGTATGTTATGGGATAGGAGGTAGAAATAGATTTGTGGTAAATAATGATATGTTTGAAGTGTATCAGCAATGTTTACATCTTCTCATTGCTCCTTTTCCTCCTCCACTTCTTGCTTCTTACTCTTATTTTTATTATTGAAAATGTAAGGGAAGTACTTTATTTTGAGTTTTTATTTAAAAAATTATAAATATGTATTAAGTAGTGCATAATTACAGAAGGATTATGATAGTCGGTTTCACAGCAGAGAGATGGAAACAGGTCCTTGGGTCATTATAGTTCTTAAACCCGAAACAGGTCCTTGGGTCATTACAGTTTTTAAACCCGAAACAGGTCCTTGGGTCATTACAGTTTTTAAACCCGAAACAGGTCCTTGGGTCATTACAGTTTTTAAACCCGAAACAGGTCCTTGGGTCATTACAGTTTTTAAACCCGAAACAGGTCCTTGGGTCATTACAGTTTTTAAACCCAAAACTGGTTCTTTGGTCATTACAGTTCTTAAACCCAACAACAATAACAGTGGGATATAGTGATAACCTGAGGTTTTTTCACATTGTGATAATTTTTTTCAATTTGGAAAGGGATAGCTTGCACTCATATTATGGTGGATATTACTCTGGTCATATTCATTTAATAAACCATTTTGTCCTGTGGCTGGTAATAAGATATTTTTTGCTGACGTTTGCAGGTGATTGTGGATGTGGTGGAGGCATGTTGTCATTGTGGGAGGTGATAGGAATATAACTATAGTGTTAATTGATGGTCAAGTGTATTTTAAAGATTTATCTCCATTTTGTTAGGTAAGACACATATGCAACAGTTAGGTATCTTCATTTCGAAACGTTTCGCCTACACAGTAGGCTTTTTCAGTCGAGTACAGAAAAGTTGATAGAAGCAGAAGAGACTTGAAGACGATGTAATCAGTCCATCACCCTTGAAGTTTTGAGGTGGTCAGTCCCTCAGTCTGGAGAAGAGCCTACCGTGTAGGCGAAACGTTTCGAAATAAAGATACCTAACTGTTGCATATGTGTTTTACCTAACAACCTGTCGGTATTTTATACCATTTTAATGTTCAATCTCCATTTTGTGTTCAAAGAATATGAAGCATTGTTAAATTTTCTACATTGGCTTCAATTTCAGCCCCAAAAATAAAAATATGAAGTTATTATTATGAATAACTTCAATAGATTTCCATTATACATTCATATATGTTTCACTTTCACAGGCATCTCATGAAAAAGTTAATCAGTAAGACAAAAAGGGAATAGAAAGAAACAGATAAAATGGGTACACCACACACACACATACATTGCTGTGAATTAAACATTTAATGCATGCTATAATAAGATACTGTGCATGTCTTACTGTAAATGGGTTCACAGTCCCAGCAGCTAATGGACCACGGAGATCAAGGTCAAGAAAAGGTGTACCTGACTTGTCGCACCTGGAGGCAGTAACACTGCTACAGTGAGGCGCCGGCTACCCGTCACGTGCTTCAGACATCCTGCCGTGAAAACCCTCTGTAATTCTCTCTTCTCAGCTTGTGATGATTCTCAGTGCATGGCAAACAGCCAGAGGCAACTGCACTGCTCTTATAATTATTATTAATAAAATCTTTATTAAATTATTCTATAAAGTGCTTATAAACTGCAATCTTGTCTGCTGTAGTAAAAAAAAATTGTAGAAAAATATTTTTAAATATTTGCAGCTTACATATCTGTAATTATGTTGATGTTGGCGAGCATGAGATGTTTTATTAATATACTGATGTTGATGTTGGCGAGCATGAGATGTTTTATTAATATACTTATTTATTGCATCCGAGTTTTAATACAGGACTCGCCAACTCAGCGAGTGATAAACATCCACACTTACAAACGTGGCACTTAGGAATCGGTAAAATTTTTACAACTGCCACTGCGCAGTTACAAGTTAATAAGACAATATGCGGTTTATGGTTTTTTATTGAGAATGTTCATGTAGCAGGGATTTTATCACTACAATGATGAAGCTCCTGGTGGACCAATCATCTTTACAATAAAAGGCCATCAACCACCTATTGCTGAAGAATCAGACTTTTGCAACAGTTAGGAATCTCTGTTGTGGGATGTTTCCTCAATATTCGCAAATGTTATACATGTACCTTAATTCTTCAACTTGTTGGTTTTCTAAACCATTTATATCATACTACATATTGTCTTGTTAAACATACTTGTCAGTATATAATAAACCATTGCATATGCAACATGATCAGCAGATAAATTGTATTTATAGGAGAGAGAATAATGTGACAGTGTTTCAGTCTGACTTGGGACCAATTCACAGGGGACTTGTAAATGGTCTGTCAGACTGAAATGTCATCATAAGCTTCTGTCTCGTATATGCTGGTTATTTGTGCGTTGTTCCTTGTATATTGTGCCTTTTGGTTCTTTATGCTGTATGCACTTACATATTTTTGTACTATTGTTTTATGTAGGAACATTTGGTTAAAACTTACAAGTAAGTTAGAGCATTGTGAATACACCTCGAGAGGTTGGGGAGTCCCTGGTGTGTCATTAACCATTGCATGAAATGTATGTGCTTATATGTGCATCGTCAGAATTAATTAAGCTTGATGAGATAGGGTAATGTTGATAAATATGAAGACAAATACGCAAGTTACTGAAGTAATTTTGGTTGGGTTAGTATTTTGATGTGAGATAAAAGATCTTCAGAGAACAAAATGTTGTCCAGTTAAATGTTTGTTCAACTATTTATGTTTTCATGAAGTTATTCAAGTGAAAGAAAAGTTTAATTGTTAAATTAGATATAAGAAACATAAGTTAATGATTGGCAATTATGAAAAAACTTGATGTGAGAATAGATAATATTGTATAGGTCAGTGTTTCACTTAATTATTTTGGTTGTTTAAAGAATTTAATTTCAGTAATACTAGACGTAGATTTTTAGTAAGGTATGGTTGGATGTAATAAAGCTTTTTTGATCCCACTGAAAATGCTTATGGATTTTTAAAATATTGAAAATAATTCAACTCTACCATCCCTCGAAGGTGTTGAATAAGTCTTAATTTTTTTCAGTGCGGCCAGCGCACTCTGAAGAATGGGACTCACAGCATGCAACGAGAAGGTTTGCTCGCCCTGCTTGCTCCCGCGTGAGTTGCAGCCGCGTGTGCATCTCGCAGTCACCCCACTCATGGCTACAGCATAATACTTTGGTCGCTGATCTCACGACATATCGAGCTCGTTTCTAGAGTTTTATATGCCAGTTGCTTGCCAGACATAGACTGGAGTTCTTATTTACATATTATATTACGCAACGTTAACCAGTGCATGTGTGGGCAATGTGATCAGAGTCAGTCAGGAGTGGTCAGTTGCAACTATTAAACAAACTCTCATAGTAGCTCTATTGACATTAAGTAATAAACTTCTTTAAATTGCCTCCAAGAAATGTTCACGGTTTGTAAAAAATGTACTCGTATTATTGTAATTTGTTATATACTTGATGACAAATGATTTGTGTCATGAAGATGCTGAAGTGGACATAAACCCATTGCCACTCCCAGTGATAAGCCTCTTATTGACTGCTTTCATGCTTGTATTGTCTGTACTAATATTTTGGAGGTTTTTTTATTAGCAGTGTATCTCCATGATGTAGCCACTCTCTTTGCATCAGCTGCATAGGAATACGTGAGAGTGGAATCCCAAAATATTACGATACAGGCAGTTTCTATAACATTCACACTTAGTAAATACAGTGTGAAATTTGTACAAAGCTAGTTCTCAGTTAGAACAACAGTACACAAACTTGTTAGAAGTTGAGAGTCGCCTGTAATGTTACAAGTGTAAGTCTGGCTTACAAATGCATTTCCCAGTTGGAAAACAGTACACAACTTGATATTCATAAGTTGGGATCAACCTTTAATACAATGTAAGTACTGCTTGCATATGCTGATTCAGTATAGAACACCAGTTACCACAAATTGTGTGCGTAAGTTGGGAGTCACAAGTGTAGGTGTTGCTTACAAATGCCGTTCACTGTTGGAGATGGTTCACAACTCGTTCAAAAGTTGTGCAGCCGCCTGTAATACATAGTGTAGTCTTGCCTGCAAATGTGCTTGGTTACACAGTACCCACCCAACTTGTTCCCCAAAAAAGGTTGGTGCCACCTGTAGTGCAAGTGTAAGTAAGTTCTTGATTTGTTAATGTACTCTATATTATTCTTTCACACACAAAAGATTCACATATGATTTATCTGTTTTATAACTTTTCCTTGTATCAACTGTGATGCCAGGTTGAGATGAAAATGATAACTCTCCATTTTTAAAATTAGTTGTCACATCTAATGTTTGCTTGAAGTTCACTGTAGCGTTATGTCTCATCGTGCGAGTAATGTCGCATCATCTATACTCTGCAGAGGGGGGGACAAAAAAAAAATTTGTTTATTTTACTGGGTGAAATCACGATAATACAGTGGACTCCCGGTTTACGATATTTCATTCCAGAAGTCCGTTCAGGTGCCAGTACTGACCGAAGTGTGTTCCCAAAGGAATATTGTGAATTAGATTAGTCATTTCAGACCCCAAACATACACATACAAATGCACTGACTAAATACACTGTACATAATTGGTACGCATTGGGAGCTGATCGTAAACCTTGGGGTCACTGTACTCAAAATACTGAAGGTACCGAAGGATTTGATGTTGAGATACAATGCTTGGTGACCGTGCTGCCCAAAGTTATTAAATAATTATTACATTCGGTTTTGAAACTGTTACAGTTGTTTGAAAAATTGTGGGCTCATACGTGTATTGTGCATAACTAAGAGTCTGATGACTCTTGGCATTTAATGTACACTAAGATAATATAAAAACAATTTGTGAAAAAGTTGAACATTATGAAAGATTACAATAAATCATCTGGGAATGTGCCGAAGTGTCAACATTCTAAAGAGCCTGAATAAAAAATTTAAGGCTCTGTTAAAGGCAAAATATTCCATTTTGACTGTTCATTTCTAAATGTAGTATTCTTTGTAAATGATGTCAATTACCACTTTGCAGTTATTGGTATAGGCTGCTACTGGGCAAACAAACATTTTCAGTTTGATAATTTACTCTTTCCTATAAAATATTTAGAGAGATCTTGTCGTTCTGGTATTTTAGTATTATCCCGTAATAAATTAGAAGTAAAGTTTTTAACAAATTTAGTTCTTTAGAGAATTGTTGAGACGGTTGGTAATGTAATGGCGACCAGCTTAGGCCTAGCTGGGGGTTGCATGGGATATATGCAGTGTATGATGCAGTATAGTTTAAGTCAGGTTTAATTATTTATTTGTTTATTTGTCACCTTAGGAGATTTTTGATACTCAAATTTGTGCTTCCTGAACTTTGAATAAAAAATAGGCTGTGTTTGTTGTTTTATTAATACTTATGACATGGATTACATGCTGGTGCCTATAACATGGTCCCAACTGACAAATGAACTCAGTTACAGAAACATACTTTATGATTGCAACACACTTCGAAAGAGATTGAAATTTGTACTAGGAACTGAATTATTAGCGGTCCTATGTGTAGCTGATGATACTAGTGAAAGGATTAATTTGTACAGGAACTAAACAACAGATACATAGATAGAATATAGAGTCCTTCGGAGCAGTCGGGAAAATGCAAGGGTGCTAGTAAACCTCTTCCCCTGTATAAATTATAAATTCAAAAGAAAAACATGCCTGCTGGAAGTCAAGCCCCTAAAGGAGGTTTTGTGTCGGCGATGGGCTAGGCTTCCAGCAGGCCATTGCTTGAGCTGTGTTGATAGGACGTGACATGGAGACAATAGTTTTTAATACTTGACGTGCTGTTGGAGTGTGAGCAAAGTAACATTTATGAAGGGGTTCAAGGAAACCGGCAGGCCGGACTTGAGTCCTGGAGATGGGAAGTACAGTGCCTGCACTCTGGAAGGAGGGGTCGTTAATGTTGAACGTTTAAAAAACATGTAGTGTAATAGCACCCTTCTGGCAAGACAGTGATGGAGTGAATGATGGTGAAAGTTTTTTTTTTTCGGGCCACCCTGCCTTGGTGGGAATCGGCCAGTGTGATAATAATAAATAAATAAAAAGAAAAACTTGTTTTTTCTTTTTAGGTAACTTTGTCTCGGGATACGGCTCGTTTAGTTGAAAAGAAGGAATTTGTACCAGGATGAACCACAGTTACTTATGCATGCAACAGTTGAAGGTCAGTGATACAAACAACTGGTTACTGTGATACAAAAGGTAGCTTATTGAGTTGAACCTTGAATGGCAATATTTGGATAAGCAACAAGAGATGGAGACAGTTCAAAATTGACAAGTGGTGATGACACAATATAAAGAGGAAATTTAGTGAGATTTTTCTTGCCTATGGAGAGGCTTCTTCTTAGTCAATCATTGACAGAAGAAGCCTATTTGACAGGCAAAACTTCTCGATGAAGTTCGTCTCTGCCGTTGTATATTTTCATAAGATGTAGTAAAAGTAGGTAATATAATCAACGTGCTGATATAAAGTCTTCAATACTGTGTAGTGATGAATGACCCTTATGGGGGTTTAAGAGCTTTCATAAAGAGAATATCGATACTATTGGTGTTTCTCCAGGGAGGTGGTGCCTTGATTGTAGTTTTTTTTTCTGGGGGCTCTTGATCAAAGCATATGATCTGTATTTACTCTTTATTAGTTTAGCCACATTAGTTTTGATTATAATAAGTAACTGGATATAATCTGAATGTCATCACATCCTCCCAGAGTGCTATGACCCACTTACGGGTTTAGCGCCCTTTCCTATAATGTAATAAGGAAGATGTTAGAGGTGAGTGCCTCTGGTGGTGAGAAGTGAGTACTGGTAGAGGTGAGTGATTCTGGTGTGTGGAGTTGAGTACTAGGTAGAGGTGAGTGCTCTCTGGTGGGTGAGTAGTACTAGGTAGAGGTGAGTGCTTTGGTGGTGAGAGTGAAGTACTAGGTAGAGGTGGAGTGCTTCTGGTGGTGAGGAGTTAGTCCGTGAGTTCTTAGGTAGAGGTGAGTGCCTCTGGTGGTGGGTGAGTACGCTAGGTAGAGGTGAGTGCTGTATGGTGGTGAGAGTGAGTTAGGTAGATGGTGGAGTGCCTCTGTGTGGTGAGAGTGGGAGTAGCTAGGTAGTGGTGAGTGCTCTGTGACACCATGGTGGAGACGTG